GGTTGCAGCCATCATTGTTGTTTGGCAGGCCCGGGCTGGATTCGAACCCGCCACCTTAGGTGCATGTGGCTGGCGCCTTAGCCACTTGAGCCATGGGTGCCGAGCCAAGATGCATTTTCTAAAACCTATCCTCTGGCCGGCCATGGTGGCTCATGTCTATAATCCCAGCACTCTGGGAGGCTGAGGCAGGTGGATTGTCTAAACTCAGGAGTTAGAGACCAGCCTGAGCTATAGGGCAAGACCCTGTCTCTAAAAAATAGCTGAGCATTGTGGCAGGTGCCTGTAGTCCCAGCTACTCTGGAGGCTGAGGCGAGAAAAGTACTTGAACCCAAGAGTGAAGTTGCTGTGAGCTACGATGCCACAGGACTCTGTACCAGAGGTGACAAAACAAGACTCTTATCTCAAAAAAATAAAAAGCCTGCTGGGCACAGTGGCGCGTGCTTGTAGTCCCAGCTACTTGGGAGGCTGAGACAGGAAGATTGTTTTGAGTCCAGGAGTTCTGGGCTGTAGTGAGCTATGCCAATTGGGTGTCCACACTAAGTTCGGCATCAATATGGTGACCTCCCAGGAGTGGAGGGCCACCAGGTTGCCTAAGGAGAGGTGAACCAGCCCAGGTTGGAAACAGAGTAGGTCAAAGCTTCTGTGCTTATCAGTAGTGGGATCGCGCTTGTAAATAGCTACTGCACTCCAGCCTGGGCAACATAGTGAGACCCTGTCTCTTAAAAAATAAAAAAAAAGCCTGCCTTCTGGCCAGCTATAGTGGCTTATACCTATAATCCTAGCATGCTTGGGAGACTGAGGCAGGAGATTTTCTTGAGTTCAGGAGTTCAAAACCAGCCTGAGCAAGAGCAAGATCCCATCTTTCCAAAAAACAGAAAAATTAGTAGGATGCATCTATAGTCCCAGGTACTTGGGCACCTGAGCCCGAGCCCAAGCAATCCTCTGTACTGTTTGTTTGTTTTTTGAAACAGAGTCTTAGTATATCACCCTCGGTAGAGTGCCATAGTGTCACAGCTCACAGCAACCTCAAACTCTTGGGCTTAAGTGATTCTCTTGCCTCAGCCTCCCAAGTAGCTAGGACTACAGGCACCCGCCAAAACGCCTGGCTATTTTTTTGCTGCAGTTGTCATTGTTGGTTAGCTGGCCCAGGCCGAGTTCAGAACCTGCCATCTTCAGTGTATGTGGCTGGCGCTGTAACCATAACCACTGTGCTACAGGCACCGAGGCTGTTTTGAATTATAAAAAAAAAAAAAAAAAAAAAGCTGCCCCTTGCCACAAACTACATCATAAAACAAAGCAGATAATGCTACCATTTCTCTAGCTGTGGGTACAGTGCTGGCAAACCGTAAGGATTCACCATTTGTAAACTATGTTTAGAAACAGAAAGTCCTAATCAGCTTGATGCCTTTAAAAGAAAATCCTCTTGGGATGGGGTCATTTTCTTGTCATTAATAGCTAATATCGAATCTAACTCATCCATTACTTACCTTATCAAAAAATAATGATTCAGTTCCTACACCATGCTTGCTGGCATCTGCCATAGAGGACTCCTTTAGGCCGAGCAGTTTGGGTTTCTTCTGCAAAGAAGGAAAAACACAAACAAGTAAGATTCAAAGAGTAAATTTTTCTTACTTTCATCTGTGTTCAATGGTTTCGTCACTGAAAATGCTGATTAATAATTTAAAACAAATGAGAGAATTCAAGTCACTAACTCACTTTAATACTCAGGGATTTCTACTCCTCTATTTCAGTTTGCCTGTCAGCTTCTTTCTTCACCAGAGAGTCCTGGTTCATTCTCCTCCCTAAATGTTCTCTCCAGAAACAAATCACAACATTATGTGTGACAAATATTAGAATTAATATCCTTACTTTTTCCCAGAGGCCAAAAGTAACTTTGCTTGGAATCTAATGCCACTGTTTTGTTTTCTTACCCATTGAGGAAGAAGATGCTGTTTGTAAAAAGAGCTGGTGCACATAGCCTAGAGTGCACAGAAATCAATCTTTAACCTTTAATAATATTTCGAATAAAAGTCATAAAAAGAGCAGCTTACTTTCCTGTTAGAAGAAGTAACTATCTTGTCAGCAATACCCACGCACACTAATTTATCATTGCTTTTTTAAAGGGAATAAATAGGTTGTACTATAACTCTATCAGGCAAGAATTTACTTTTAAAAATCCACCTCTCACTATCTGCAAAGAAATGAACAAACTTTGTGAGAAGCAGCACGTTTACCTCCACCATCTCTGAGTATACTTTCTTAGGAGCCATACCCTCTGCTTACACTGCCTGAGGAGAAAGTAGGTGGAGAACTGTAAGCTCCTGATGTATTGTTTCCACCTGTAGATAATTAAGTATGGGCGGAGACAAATCTAACAATGTAACATATTTACTGAGCTGATTCTTGCTACCTCTTACTATTAGAAAGTCCACTAATTTTGGTTATTCTTTAAATTCTACAGACATATTGACTCTTCTATATTACATACTGCCTTAGAATTCACTGAGGAATTCAACATTCAATACACACAACTAGCTCTCTCCCTATTACAGATATAATTGATCTAAGAAAGGAGCAAACTAAGCTTTCTATATGCAGACCATCAGTGTTTACTGTAATAAAAACTTTCCTCTGCTACAACTCAAAGGTCCTGCTTTGGAGATTAAGAAGATACACAGATAAGATCTGGCCATCTGGCAATCTAGCTCACATTTATAATCCCAGCAGTTTGGAGAAGCCAATGCAGGAGAATTACTCGAACTCAGGAGTTTGAGGTTACAGTAAGTTATCATCACACCACTGGACTCCAGCCTAGGTGACAGAGTGAGACCTTGTCTCTTAAAAAAAAGAGAGAGCAAGAGAGCTCTGGCAACCCAACAAAAGGCTTTAAGCAGGATAATTCTCTAGATCAAAGAGATCTCACAAGCACATGAACTTTACTTACAAGATAACCTTAGAGACCACTCAATTATTTCTGAAACAATTATCAAGGTTAAGCTTTCTCTTTCTTTGAATTGTTCCCAACACATAGAAATGACAAATACTAAGGACATGGACACCTCAAACACCCTGACTTGATCATTACACATTCCATTCATGTAACGAAATCACACACATACTCCATAAATATGTAAAATATTATGTATCAATAAAAATGTTTTAAAATATATTTTAGCCATAAATGTGGGTATTGGTGGTAATATTTCAGTTTTAAGCTATGTTTAAAAAAAAAAAACTATTTACTGAGAACACAACTGTAATGCCCTTTATAAACAATTTATGTTTGGGAAATTAAAAAAAAAATCTTTCTTAGCACAACAAGGCAGGGTTAGAAGAAGGGAAAAATATTTAAGTCTTAGAAACCCCTAGCAGCAAACAAAAAATAAAAGACAGCTCATAGCAAACAGAGATAATATAGGAAAAAAAAAAAGAATACGAAAAGCACAGTAATCTAAGCAATTAGTATTCTAATATTCTTTTGTAAAGCCAGATAAGAAAGCTTTGCTCTGAGTTTCTGTAACACACAGCAATTTGCTCTGAATGTCTAGATCTAACTCTCATCTCAACAAGCTTAAGATAACAGGTGGCCACCCCAGAGTAGCTGTCCATTAGAATTGCCTGTGAAAGTCAAAATGAGCAGCCACTGCCCATTCTCACCTTCACTGGAGGGGTGGTTCCTGACCCAGAGTGCCTGCGGATCTGGCAGCCATTCTGGCTGGGCCTCTGTGGCTTGTTGTTCAGTTGGGGCTTCTTCACAGTGCCCCCATGGTCGTTCCTCACAGAATCAACCTTCTCAGCAGTTGTTTTGCTTAAAAGCTGATTGAAACACATGAAAGAGATAAAAGCTCTTATCAAGGCAAGTACGTACCATTTGGTTAAGCTCTCTTCTTTTTTTTTTTTTTTTTTTTTT